GAAAATCCTCTGCTAACAATTGTAAGCAATAACAAAGGTTAGTAAAGAAATCCTCTGACTAACAATTGTAAGCAATAACAAAGGTTAGTAAGAAAATCCTCTGCTAACAATTGTAAGCAATAACCAAAGTTAGTAATGCTAAATTCAAATTAAAAGCTGCTCTATCAGTCTATTCCCAGATGAAAAGTCCTATTTATGGCATTTATATCTATCTCTGTTGAATACATAGCATTTGTCAAGTTTTCAACAGCACCACTACTTTTAATGGCCTCTGTTTCACTCTCAAGTAAATTTTAAAGTTAACTTTACAATGCACTATCTGATAAAAACCTGCACAAAATGTGAATTATCTGGAATTAAAATACAAGCACCCCCATCAATGTTGTGTTGGTTATTAACCATTTCTATGACTTGCATATTGCTGACAATTAGTTCTTTTCATTTCTAATAAATCACATTAGAGTTGGAATATATGCAGTGATGTATACCCACTTGGTCCAGCATAACTTTTATACGAGTTCGTAATTGGATTCTTTTCAACCCTAGTGATGCAACAAGAGGAAATAAGCTGTTTATTATCAAGTGCACGGTACAGTAAAAATTTTATTCCAATTAACTTAAGTGAATTTTCTTACAAATACTATAGCCGTGAGTGTAGAGAATATGTTTCAACATACCAAATTTGGCTGAGGTTAAAAGGCAACATATATATCATCCCCACTTTACCTAATTTGAACAGCATGTGCTAGACACTGTTACATTAATGCTAGCCTGTAGGTCAAGCACTGGCATTTGGTTCAATCATATAAGCATCCTTTGGCATGATCATAAACAGAAACTGAATAACTTGTGTCTCATACTTGGAAGCTATGAACAAAGTTCCTATAAAATAAACATTATATACAGTCTCCAATGAACCAAGGTTGTGTACAATAACCATTACCTCCAGTTTCTAATGAACCATGTTCATATACGAATAGCATTATATTCACTCTCTAATGAATGATTATTATATCTGGTTTCTAATGAACCAAGCTGGTGTACAATAAGCATTATATCTGGTTTCTAATAAACCATGCTGGTGTACAATAAGCATTATATCTAGTCTCTAATGAGCCATGCTGTACAACAAGCATTATATCATCTATATGATGATAGCACATGAAAAAAAACTTTCATGGATTTTTGAAGCATGGAGTAGAAGTTTCTATAAAATGTTTTTATGTCTTAAGTGTAATAAAATTGTACACAAGTCGGCATGCTTGACCAAATAATTAGTTAGCAAGCCTGACCTGGCTATCCAATTAGCCCAACCCAGCACTTAGTATGGTAGCTGAAAAACAACCTACATATAGAACAAAAAAAATGAAGTTTTAATAACTCAATTATGTAGAATACATATGTCAACAAGTTATGAATCATTACAACTTTGACCATCAGGAAAAACAGATTTCTAATATTTTGAAATGTCAGAGCCATTAGTGTTCAGCAGCTTTCTATGCATGACAAAATATTTTTAAGCTCTAAAGTACATTAGTAAACACACTGATTTCCATACCAACTAGGTTGCATCTGTCTACTATAGAACTTCATTACACCTGCTTTCTTTGGCTTGGAATAGTGGTATAGATTTTTTGGAGTCCATTAAGACAGTATTAGGTGTTGTAGGGTACTTGGTTCACCACAGTAGTGACATTCACAGTTATCAGAAAAGAATCTTCTCTAAATTTTCCAAAAATATTATTTTTCTTAAAGATGAGTTTTGTAATTTGAAGAAAGATCATCAGTAATTTGCTCAGCATGAAATAAATTATCTAGATCTACATTGGAAAGTGATATAAAAGCTAAGTCACTATATACTACAATTGCTATTCAGTTGGATACACAACTAGAAATAACTTAAAAACGTCACCGAGTATTCTTTGTAAAATTGCTTTTATGTGTTCACTTCCTGGTTAAACAAAGGTGTTTCCAATGAGAGGCCATCATAAAGATCTTGTAGCATTTGAAGGGAACTTTTGTTAGTTAACTTTTTAAAATGAAGCTTTCCCAGAACTAAAAGACTGCAATTCCACAAGGAAATGCATTTTACTAGAAATTGTGAATAAAAGATTTACCATAATATGGAAATGGATAACATTGTGATGGAGCAGGTTTTAACTGGTATTAAAAACAATGGTTTGCTATAATTGCTTAAACAACAGGTATTTGTAGTAATGAGCATATCACTTGGTGGATTTATAGCAATTATTTAATTCAAGAGGAGCCACTTGGTCTTGTGCAGTTGAATACCAAATCTTTAACATTACTTAGTAATATCAAAGATGTGCTGATCCAAACTCACTGTCACATTGCAGAGGCCAAGCTTATGATGATGCTACAAGTATGGGTGATGTGCATAATAGTGTTAAAGCTCTTGTTAAAAAAGAAAAAAAAATGATAATTGTATTTGCATTGCTTGGGTCACAATTTAAATCTGTGTCTACAGGATATAGTGTAACTTTGTTGATAATGGCATAGCTATTATTTATGAGTTAATACAGGTAATAAACGTTCATCATAAAGACAACATATTTGAAAGATTATTAGTAATGAATGCTTCTATTAATAGCATCTTTCTGATCAACAAAGTTCTAACAGCACTTTGAAAGAAATCAGTTAGAGTCGAGATGATTACACAGCTAAAACTAATGGCTCGCTCATGCAGTTGGACTAATTTTGAAAATTTAGGTGTTGAAGTTTACTTAACTAGTGTTTTCTATTGCAGATAAATTTTCTCCTCCATATCTTTAAATCAAACATGTGACAATGGAAATTACTTACTAATGTCTCACTTGAAGGATCTGAGGACAATAGAATAATTTGAAGAGTTTTTTTTTTACAAAACAATTTCAAGAACTTTATTGGTACATTAAACAGCTAAGAAGATTAGGCAAGTGTAGTTGTCTATGTCAATTTAGAACAACTTTGAATTGCTAGAAATGGAAATGTGAGAAGTAAAATCACATTTTGATCAGCCAGATACTGAAATTGTCAAAAACTCAACCACTTTTAGTGAAAGCATACTACCTACTAAAGGCTTTTTTGAAAATGTTTGAGGATGGCTTTGATTGCTCTTCTTTTCATGTCCAACTTTCAATGATTTTTAGTATGATAAAACTGTATTTTTTAGTAATGTGGCAATAATAGAAAAAAAAGATGACTTGACTATTGATAGTGTCCACATCGTGAAATAAATCTATGTTACTTCTACTCTTGATAAATAGCGGTAACAAATGTCAATAAACTTCAAAGTTGTTATTTTAAATGTAATAAACCAACATTTAATTACTTTTTGTAACCATAATTTGGTGCCTCAATGTTTTTTTCTGATAAGTTAACACTAAAGTTGCAGAGTCAAAATGGACTTGGGGTTTAATATAAATACTATCTGTAACCAGTTTAATGCAAAGATTATTCCCCATCTCATAAATATCACCTTTTACATTTATAACATCAAAACTTTAAATAATAGCCAGGTACAATGATAGGAAAATACAGAAACACAAGAGAAAGAAACGCTTGAAAACCTCAGATAATGTGAAAAAGAACATCTGTTTATGACATAATATTAAGTAGATTAATTGTCCAACTTTACTAACTCTACACATGTGATGGAACCGTAGGGCCTAAAGGACTGTGTTCCTTTTCAAGTTTTCTTTGGAGTATTCTACATTAATTCCAACAAACAGATATGTAGCTGAACACTGTGTAATGTCTGTCTTTGCAGATCCATGTAAGCCTGCTATCTCTAGTGGTTTTTAACTCACCTGCATTCATTTGTACACTTACTTCTAGCTCTCACTTAAACCCATTCCACAATTACAGCTTTGTGTTTTGCTGTGATTATCACTTGCCCTTAATATCATTAAATACCCATGTAATCAATTAGATTACAGTGATTGACAGAAGAAAAAATGCAATGGATAATACATCATCTCCAATTGAAAAATAAAATATGCATACATTTAAATCAATCCCTTGTAATAACTAACTCACTGACTCCTAATATAGACCCTCAAACTGATGGGAAGTTTTACATTTTACACAAATCTGTAAGACCTTAATCCTTTTGCTCTTTAATTTTAAAGATAAATTATCTTCAAAATTCATCACAATAGTATTTTAATCTTTCATCTCTAATCTTCACAATGCAGATGTCTCCAACTGTTCAAATTCTCTCTCTCTCTCTCTCTCTAGCTGGCAGAGCAAAATTATATAACAAACTATATCTTAAGAACAAGTAGCAATTCCACTTTCTAATGATGTATTGGATAAATTGTCTAACCAATTGAAAATATAAATTTACTTCCAAAAGGAAATTAGACATAGCTAAAAAATCTGACATCTGTTTTGACAATGTTCGGTAGTAATTTTTCTCCACTATGAATCTTGTCAAAAGCAACCAATGGGGATATAATAACTGCCATGAGCCTCCACATTCCCTTTGACTGCAAGTCATTACTTACTACCCAGATTACAATTAGACAGTAATATTAACTACTATTGTAACATTTAATATGTGCTTAATTTCAAATTCAACACAAATTAGATTGTAAATATATACGCAAATAATACTTGGACATCAGGATTCTGTTCTGAATTTTTCCTGGACCTTGTGCAAAACTTTGAATACTCCCACCCTAAAAAAAAAAATTTTTAACTTACAAACTCTGAGCCAGTGATCATTTCTTAGCTTCCCAAGCCATAAACTTCCATGTAAAACTATTGAGCCAGCAATCATTTCTAATGTAAACTTTCTTGCACAATTTCTTATCCAATAATTAGTTTTTAAATCCATACACTACAAACCTCCTTATACACCAAACATCAAAACTAAACACAATTAATGGATATATGAAAATATTCCAATAAAATATAATGCTTCACCAAAACCATTAAGTAAGAGCTAAAAATGCAAGAAAGTAAGTCAGTTTCACATTTTATCTCCCACAACTCCTGTTCTCCAACTATACCTTCTTATGTATATACATGTTACCTGTACTGATAAACTGAGTAAATCACATATGATAAATTTCACTAAGTATATTTAGCACTGGGTCTAACAACTAGAGCTAGACAAGATCCTCTTGGCCCTAATACAATATTATGGAAAAAATAGATACCTACTAATATTGTCCACAAAGAACAAACAACTTAGTAAGGAGAAAACACAGTAAAACTTGTGAAGTTTCATATTAAATTTTGATATGAAACTACATCATGAATTCACTTCTTTTACAGTGTCAAAATGATAAATAAATTTTTACTGCACCATAACTTGCAAAAATCTATATTTCAGTAAAGCAGCTACATCTGTTTGTAAAAATTGTTCTTGTTAATATTACACATTCCTAGAAGTAAAGTTGAAACCCTGATGACAGTATTAATTGTATTTGAATATTTGTAAAATTCATATTTTTTTACTGGAAATAATATTCAGCTATATTCAATACCTAAGAAATGTTAGCAAATATTAACTTGTATGAAAAGCTTTATGAATTGGAAAAAAAACCACTATAGATCAATATAAAATACATAATTACCACCAAATTCTGATTAAAACCTGAAATGACCAAGAAAATAAATGTACTAAATAACGTAGATATCTGCTTAAATCAAGAACATTGCCTTTTTGATAGTACTAACAAATGTTAATAGTGACCACATAAGCCTTTATCAAACAAATAATCTACAGATTTTTCTACTAAAATAAACAGTCTTAATGTAGACTTATTATAATACCATGTGGATGCATGGCACAACCTAATGAACTTCTGTAGTTCAGTACATGAACTTTATCAGTTAAAGGTGTTGCATAAATAAATGTATAAACTAAATGGCAAATTATGTACAAATAAAATGCTCAAATTTATTAATTTTCTGATTTTTATGACTGTACATTGTAAATAAAACAAAGAAATCAGTAGAAAATTGAAAACACAATGCAGTATCTGGTATACCAGCATAATACGTTGGAATATACATTAGTTCTCTGTACAAGCCTTTTTTTTTCTAATATTTTACAAAATGTAAAGGAAATTATGCAAGACTCATTAGCACTTTTTTGCAAGGTCTTAAAGTTCTATTAGCATTTACTTTCCTTAAGATTCAGCTTTCACAGCAATAAAACTACATGTGAAATTATTTTTAATAACATTACCTTAAAAAAAAGAAAAGCACTCTACTTGGCAACTCTTTTCATCATGGTGACAAATTTTCAACAATAGCTGTAGAACTGTAAAATGAGATTTAAAATTATTTCCTTAATAGCTGTAGAACTGTAAAATCAGATTTAAAATTATTTCCTTTGCAAGTGTTATTGTTGTTAAGTTAAAACCATCAAAATATGGTCTTTATTTGAGGTAATTAATCATCCATTTCTTCCATGCGGCAATGAATGGCTGTCTCCACAACTTCAAGACTTGCATAATCCAACTCTTTAATTAAGCACAGAACTGCTGATAGGATGTTGGCATTCTGCTAAAAAATCCAAGATAGAAGTTCTGTTTTAGCAACAAAGTAATTATTTTTTCAATATCATTACAGACATTCAACAACATTCAAAATCAATCTAGCTAAAAAATCTATAATTATATAATACATATATAAAAAATTAAATTCACCAGTAATACTCTAGGCTGTTCAATCAGTTAGGAAGGAAGCCTGAATTAGAAAGTTACATATATAATTAAAACTTCCAAACTTAAAACAGCATTACACATGTATTATCCAAAGAAATTAGGTAGTAAAATCAGCACCACAAGTTCATACAAAAATAAATTGAAATATAAACTTCAACTACAGAATTCTCTGCAAACAAAAAATATTAATGCTATGAAACACGAGTTATGATGGTAAATTGTTATGGTCTGTGAAATTTGCACAATTGAATTGATAGTTAGCCTATAACAGGTTCAGCTTTGGTTAACACAGCTACTGAAAGCTTATTGCATGGAGGGTTAATTACACTTCAAAAACAATCAGCACATACTAATCCAATGGTGTACCACCATAGAGGTGAGAAATGATACTGTGCATTGACACGTTTAGTAAATTTCAAACTGTTCAACAACATAATGCTGCCATGAGTAAACTTGTTGCTAGAGGTTAGTATAAAAAGCTTTTTCAGAAAGAGATACAAGCAAGATTGTTAATAAGGTATAGCAAAAAACAATGTTTTGAAGAAAGAAGTCTTTAATGTTCTTCCTGGAAGTAGACCTAGAACAAAATCTAGTGGAGTCATAATAGGGATTTGTAGTTTGAGTAAATAGTGTCTACAGTACATCAAGCCTTGTTCCCTTTCTTTTTTTACAATCCCCATTTACAGATTTTTAAATTAACAATTTTTTATTTATCTTGTTTGCTCACTTTTTTTTTATGCTCAACTATGGATAAAGGATTACTTGATATGTTAGCTAACTTTATACATTGTAATGATAATTAATATAGCTAGTAGCTAGCTGATAAGGTTCATGATGATTTACTGTGGCTATTGGCTATTTGATTGCATTAGTTCGACATGTAAAATGTTGAGCTCCAGCTGAAGAATATAATGAGTATTTATAGTTTCTGTGTAACTAAATTCTCTATATATAATGCATAGCAATAGGGAAATATATACCTAGACTAAGACAACCCCCACTAATAGAGTATAAATTTTTACCAGTAAAAAAGTAGTCTTGTCAAATAAA